AAAAAAAAAAAAATAGAGATGTGTTAAAAAAGAAATGAATAAATGAATTTCCTTTTCTTGATGGTGGATTTTCTTTATTAATCAGGTGAGGTAATGGATAATCTTACCCTAGAAGCTGGAGATGATGCTGGAAAAGTGAAATGGGTCGACATCAGCGAGAAGCTCAAGCTTTACGCCAGTCACTCTCAGTTCATCAAACTAGTGACAGAGAAACGAGATGCGCACTGGAGTGAGGGCTCTGAAGCTGACTGCCGGGGGGTATAGCTCCTGGTCTCTGCAGAAGCCAAAAGCCCACAAAGGAGCAGGTGCTGAAAGGAGGCAGGGTCACCCAACTTAGGGCGGCCACTGGGCCTGTTCACTTTCAAAATGATTTACATTTAGAGGGGTTTCCATCAGAATAAAAATTAATAAATATGATGAAACAAAACACAGAATTTTCAGCTTTCTGGTCAAAGGAACATAAATGGTCATATTTTGTATGTATTCTGTGTAAGCATGGCTTCAACGAAATTTAAACAATTGATGCTCTCGGATGAATCATAATCAGAATAAAGACAAATTCTTGATCAGCCATAACTCCTGTTTTCCATCTAGTTCTTGTTTGTCAGTTCCTCCGCCCACCTCAATCTTTTGAAGCCCAAAGGATTTTCCTGCCACATTGGACTTCTTTAGGACAAGCACCACCATTGGATGTATAGTTTAATGTCACATTTGATTTTTCCTTCAATTATTTATCATTATGCTTTTTATTATCTTATTGAAGCTGATTTCAAAAGTGGGAACTTTATGTATTTTTGACTTTAGAGTCATGAGTTTTATGAGGAAATTTCAATCACTCTTTTAGTTATTAAAGATTAAGAGCAATGAATAAAGGCCAGGCATGGTGGCTCATGCCTATAATCCTAGCACTTGGGAGGCCAAGGAGGGTGGATTGCCTGAACTCATGAGTTCGAGACCAGCCTGAGCCAGAGTGAGACCCTGTCTCAAAAAAATAGCTGGGTGTTGAGGTGGGAGCCTGTAGTCCCAGCTACTTGGGAGGCTGAGGCAAGAGAATCACTTTGGCCCTGCAAAACAACAATGACAACTGCAGCCAAAAAAAAAAAAAAAAAAAAATCTCCAGTTGGGGCAGGGACCTGTAGCCCCCCCCACTCAGGAGGCTGAGGCAATAGAATCACTTAAGCCCAGAGTTTGAGGTTTCTGTGAGCTGTTATGCCATGGCACTCTACTGAGTGTGACATAGTGAGACTCTGTCTCAAAAAAAAAAAAAAAAAAAAAAAATAGATGTTGGCTTGGCACCTGTAGTTCAGTGAGTAGAGTGCCGGCCACATAAACCTGAGGCTGCCAGGTTTGAACCCGGCTTGGGTCTGCAAAATAACAACGACAACTGCAGCCAAAAAAAAAAAAAAAATAGCCAGACGTTGTGGTGAGTGCCTATAGTCCCAGAGATATAGAGATGTCAGCCAGGCGTTGTGGCGGGTGCCTGTGGTCCCAGCTACTTGGGAGGCGGAGGCAGGAGACTCGCTTGAGCCCAGGAGTTGGAGGTTGCTGTGAGCTGTAATGCCACGGCACTCTACCCAGGGGGAAAGCTTGAGGCTCTGTCTCAAAAAAAAAAAAAAAAAAAAAAAAATAGATGTTGGCTTGGCACCTGTAGTTCAGTGAGTAGAGTGCCGGCCACATAAACCTGAGGCTGCCAGGTTTGAACCCGGCTTGGGTCTGCAAAATAACAACGACAACTGCAGCCAAAAAAAAAAAAAAAATAGCCAGACGTTGTGGTGGGTGCCTATAGTCCCAGCTACTCGGGAGGCTGAGATAAGAGAATCACTTAAGCCCAAGAGTTTGAGGTTTCTGTGAGCTGTTATGCCATGGCACTCTACTGAGTGTGACATAGTGAGACTCTGTCTCAAAATAAATAAATAAATAAAAATAGATGTTCAAAAAGGAATTGCAATCAGATAGGAACAGAGAGAGATTTTTGTTAGGAAGGGAATGTTAAAGATTGAAATGGGTTTTGGAAAGGTGTGTGGTTAATATTAAATTCCTAAAGAAAGGACAGGATTGGTGGTGTTAGGGAGTCTTAGAAACATGGAAGGGGGGAGAAAGTAATACTGCCTTGTCTGAGTGGACGTGTGTATCTCATTCTCCCAGCAATATGCATTGGAAAGTGCTATGATATTAACTCCTCTCCACCCGAATTTGGGTTAGACTGTAGCTGGGGCATCTGAAGCAAAGCATTGGGGGGTAGGGACATGGTGTTGTCTTTTCTTCAGACATTTGAAGAAGAAAGTAGACTGTATCTAGAGAGTAGAACTAGAGCTAAAGTAAAACAGAATTTTGTTTTGTTTTGTTTTGTCAAGTTGATGTCAAAACTCCCGTGGTAGTAAACTCCCAGTGAACTGACAGGAGGCCTTTTTCCCCCGAGTATGACTGTGGGTTTTGCTGAGACTTTAGAGTGTTTGATTTCAGGATACTTCAACCCTCTCTGGAGGAGTTAGAGGGCTTATGTATGGCATTAACTTTTAAAACTCCATAAAATCGGGAGGCGCCTGTGGTTCAGTGGGTAGGGCGCCGGCCCCATGTACTGAGGGTGGTGGGTTCAAACCCAGCTCCGGCCAAACTGCAACAAAAAATAACTGGGCGTTGAGGCGGGCGCCTGTAGTACCAGCTACTTGGGAGGCTGAGGCAGAAGAATCGCCTAAGCCCAGGAGTTGGAGGTTGCTGGAGCGACTCTGCTGCACCCTACCGAGGGCGAAAAAGTGAGACTCTGTCTCTACAAAAAAAAAAAAAAAAAAAAATCCATAAAATCCTGGTCTCTGGGGTATGTAATAAAGAGAAGTATCTTTGGCTCGGTGCCTATAGCTCAACCAGCTAAGGCGCCAGCCACGCACACCTAAGGTGGTGGGTTCGAATCCCCAGCCCGGACCCACCAAACAACAATGACTACTGCAACCAAAAAATAGCCGGGTGTTGTGGGCGCCTGTGGTCCCAGCTACTTGGGAGGCGGAGGCAGGAGACTCGCTTGAGCCCAGGAGTTGGAGGTTGCTGTGAGCTGTAATGCCACGGCACTCTGCCCAGGGGGACAGCTTGAGGCTCTGTCTCAAAAAAAAAAAAAAAGAGATGTATCTTTGATGAGCATGACCTGCTCATGGAGTAAGAGGCTGGATGGCTTTCTTCGGATGTGAGTCAGCTTCTCCTTTTACTGTTTGGGGTGAAGAAATTGTTTCTTTCTAACTGAACCGAGTTCTCTAAAGTTGAAGCTACTTACAAAACTTTTAAGAAAGTTTGAGCAATTTTCTGAAAAATTGTTTAATAGTTTTAATACATAGTTTTGATACATTAATAAAGATATTAGGCTATATTACAGTTTTCTTTAAAGTATAACTAAAACACATGGTCTAGATTTTTTTTTTGAGTTTTCACTGGAATATATATAAAGTTTGCAAAATACTACTGTTAACATAGTATACTACAGATAGGATAGAACAGAGGTTCTCAACCTGTGGGTCGCGACCCCTTTTTTCCATTTGTAACAACGTGGCAATTAGGAAGGTTGAGAACCACGGGGATAGAAGAAGATCATCTTCTGAAAACTGTAAATATCCAGCACTATCTATAATGAGGAAAACCAGATTAAAATGTTAGTTTATGACATTCCTAGAAAACATCTATATCACTAGGCAATATTCCCTTCATATTTGCTTTTCTTACATTTAATGTATATGGAATATTTTTTTCTTTTAGAAACATTTAGTAAAATAAAGAGTAACAATACATACCATTTACTGAATATCTATATTACTTAATCCTCACCACAATGCCTGTGAAATTAGGTGGCATTATTCCCATTTCACAGATGAAGAAAGATTGCTCACGTTTTTGTTCAGCAAGGGACAGAGCTTTGAATCTCAGTCTGCCTAATTCTAAAACCTGTTTTTTATTCCCTGCTAAGTTATGAATCCTCTAAGATTTATGATTTAAGTATGCAGTTTGGAAGATTATATGTTACACAAATAGTACTCATATTAGTCATCCTAATGCAGTTATGATTGGTAACTTGAAATTTAAGGACCATACCTGATTTGGTTAACCTTGTTAGCCAAAGTATTTGCAGAGTTTTCACCGACAGACAGTTTAAGTGGTAATAATGTTAACATAAGGATAAATGGTCACAATCAGTATTTGTTTTGCCAACAGGGGTTCTGGAGCTTTTAAAGCATTTCAAACTCAAATCGAAGATATGCTAAACTTACGTGTGATCATAGTGATCTTAAAAGCTAACTATTTGGTAGCTAAAGAGGAACTTGGAAATTCTAAGCACTTTAAGAGGCTACTCTTATTTAACAGTATGTTTTCTGATGCTTAGCACTCCAATGGTTGGTATTATTTTCTAAAATTTCTGGAGTTTCATTAAATAAACTGACATTCAAATACATTCTTTGAAGAAAGCATTTTGAATTAAGTTGGCCTTTTTATACCTACTTTCATCACATGATTAAATTACCAACTTGGACACAATCTAAGGTGATTAAATTTTTTTGATAAAAATATTCAAAACTGCATAATGTTGCTTGAAAGATATTTGGAGATTTTACTAACCGTGTAGAACTTCTGGCACAGTCGTGAGAGTTATTTCTGTCAAAATAGATAATACAGTTACAATATAGGTTACAGCTACTGTATGAAGGTATTTTCACAGTAATTCCTTCACTTTCACCTGTGTCTCCCATTTTATGGTTATTTTATTGCTGATACATTAATATTGGTATAATTGTGTGGGCTGGGGATAGAAAATTAGGTAGTTCTGTTATACTTCAATGCTGAGTTGAATCCTTAACTGTATGTCTGCAACGCAGAGCTTAATTTCTCTCTCGTGGCCTTTGGGGGCTTGATAAAAGTATCTGAAGTGATTAAGAGTACAAAATAGGCACTTTACGCACTAAAACTTGTTAGGAGAAAAACTGTTGGGTGAAAATCTAGTTTCTTTCAAGGTAGATTAAAATACATACTATATGATGTTAATAGATGTATTAATTGTTATTTAAAAAAAGAGTCAGGCTTGGTGGTGAGCTGGGTTCAAGTGTCCCAGCCAATGGGGAAGTTGAGGTGAGAGGATTGCTTGAGATCAGGAGTTCAAGGCTATAGGGTGCCACGATCCAGCCTGTGAATAGCCACTGGACTACAGCCTGGGCAACATAGTGAGACTTCCTCTCTTTAAAAAAAAAAAAAAAAGCAACAAAAAGGAATATACCTTCTTGGCCTCTACTTTTTAAATTGGCATATATTTTAAATGAAAGCAAACGTGCGTGAAAATGAAAGTAGAAAGTCCAAGGATTGTAGCCTTTGCACCAAGCAAGCTCCTAATGTAAAGGAGAGATCAGACCATTTGAGATCAGACCATTTCTAGGTCTGAGATCAGACCATTTGAGATCAGACCATTTCTAGGTTTGGTAGTTCTCTACCAAATGAGTAAGCTTTTCTCATTTAGTATGAATTGTCCATAAGACAGAAAGAAGCCTGAGGCAAACCTCCCTGTTGGAAATTTCTTAACCTAATATTGCATGTATGTCTTAAA